AAGCTCAGTCAGAGGTTTAGCAATTCCCGAAAAACCCTTTATGAACTTCCGATAGTACCCGGCTAAACCAAGAAAAGACATGATTTCTTTCCTATTTTGTGGGTCTGGGAAATTTTCTACTGCCTCAATTTTGCTCGGATCAGCCTTAATCCCTTCAGCAGTAATTACATGGCCTAGATGAACAACTTCTCTCCTGAGAAAATTGCACTTATCTGGCTCAAGTCGCAGATTTGTCTCTTTAAGCCGCTTCAAAAACTCTATCAGCCTCTTATTATGTTCGTTCAGACTTGGACCAAAAATGACAATGTAATCCAAGTACACGAAACAACGTAATCTNGAGAAAATTGCACTTATCTGGCTCAAGTCGCAGATTTGTCTCTTTAAGCCGCTTCAAAAACTCTATCAGCCTCTTATTATGTTCGTTCAGACTTGGACCAAAAATGACAATGTCATCCAAGTACACGAAACAACGTAATCCCTGAATTCCAGCTAGCACAGAATTCATCAATCGTTGGAAAGTCGCTGGCCCCCCTTTCACCCCGAAAGGCAGGCGATTGAACTCGTAATGCCCGTACGGTGTAGAAAATGCAGTCTTGCATTTATCCTCCTCCTTCACAGGAATTTGGTGGGACCCTGATGCTTAGTCCAACGTTGAAAAATATTTTGCCCTGCCCAATCTATCCAAAATATCGGCAATATTAGGCAATAAAAATGAATCACCTATACTGACGTCATTCAGCCGTCTAAAATCGACAACGACTCGAAATTTAATTTTTCCTGAAGGATCCATTTTCTTCGGAACGACCAATAGTGGCGCATTCCATTGACTTCTGTTTGGCCGGATCACTTGATTTCGCAGCATTTCTTTTATCTGCCTATCGACCTCTCCCTCCTGTGGTTGAGGCAATCGGTGAGGCCGAACATTAATTGGAGCAGTCCCTGGCTATAAAGGAATTTCGTGTTCCAGGTGATCAGTCACCCCTGGAGCATCCCCCGGCAACTGCACAATAGAATTGAATTTCTCCAAAATTCCCACGAGGCTATCCCGTTCTTCTAGGTTGAGATGTTCGAGGCGTAAATTTTCATGCAATAATTTTATTCTATCCTTATCTTCGTATTTATACGAATTCTGCAACGTCATGATATCCACCTCAGTCGCTAGCTCTTGCAACACGACCGATGGCAAGTCGACGAACTCATCCGTATCCTTGGTATTGATTACACACACCGTTACGTAACCATCGATAGCCTCAGTCAAGCATTCTCCGATAAAAATGCCCTTTTTTAATTCCATTTTGGAGATAATCCCTGTTCCTTTACTGCACGTCGGTACTCGAACCAATGTCTCCATTCTAGCCCCCAATTTTGAAGGCTCTTTATCATCGAACAAATCAAATCGATGACCATTAATTTTTAGAGATTCTTCGTGAACTGTTTCCACCTTCAAACTTGAAGAACCCAGAAAATCTTCTCCTAGAATTCCTCCAACACATGGAAAATTCTCTGGAACCACCTGGAATCTGTGTCCCAAAATTTCTTCACCTATTTCGAGATAAAGAATTACTTCTCCCAATGTGGCAACATCTTGATTGGAAATTCCTCTCGAAAGCCGCTGCCCTGGTGTTATTTCCGCTTTCTCTGCCAATTTATTGATTTTAATCAGGGATGCCTTCGCCCCTGAATCTGCCAAAAACAACGTCGGTTGTTTTAATTCCTCTGCATGCAATAATACTTGCGTTTTAATCTCCGACGGTTGCACTGGAGCTATCATCCGCTTATCGGTGACACCTTCTCCGGTTACCCCAGTCTGCACCATCGTAATCTGAATAGCGCCAACTGGTAGAGGAAGAGTTTTATTTCCCCCCTCCGCACTATTCTTATCCTTTGCACCATTATTATTTTGTGCATTACTTTGTTTATTTGCGGGCGTAAATTTATTAAAACCAGAAGTAGCTTGTTTCATTGCCCCAAAACTCACTTTTGACGTTTCCGGCAGCCCAAGTTTCCTCTTCAATTTATGACAGTCAGCATAATCATGACCTGCATATTTACAATAGTGGCAAACAGACCCAAATGCGTTAATGCTCCATCGTTCCGTCGGGACTGGCAATGATTTCCATTGCTCCCCCTGCGAATTTCTGCAATTTTTAGCCATATGACCCGTTTGACCGCAAGAGTAACAGCGTCCGACGATTTGACGACCCATGGACATCTTATTGCCTCCAGTAGAATTTCGATTTTGACCAAAATTCCCTCCAATCTTGCCCTTAGTATTTCCAGAAATTGTTTTTTCCAGATCTACTGCGCCAGTGCAAGAGTCATGGAGCGTTCTATAATGATTTGCTCTCACCAAAATTTGTAGTCGACCCCGCAAACCTTGTTCAAACACCAATTTTGCCATGGTTTCCAAGACTTTTGTAGCTGCTTCCTTTTCCCTCTGCAAGAGCTCCGGGTGAAGACCCAATAGACCATTTAAATAATCCATCGTGACCTCCTCCGTGTGTTGGACGAATTTCCCAACGTCCTCATTCTCGCGCTGTTCAAGTTTGCTGAACTCAACTTGTAGTCCGACGACATTCCGAGTCTTCCCAAAAAGTGATTCCAACTCACTTTTCAATTGCTCGAATGTTTTCACTGTGCGATGCTTCAATTGTTTATGCGCCGCACCCTCCAATTTACTCCCCATAATTCCATCCAAAAGCTGATTTTCCAACCCTGGACGAATTAATCTCCTAGCGCTGGCTATGGAATCCAGGAAACAATCCAATTTATCTGGGCCATCCCCAGTAAAGACTTTTATTAAATATAGTGCGCCCTTTAAATCCAAAAGATCCGAATGCGAACTTCGGTTGCGAAGATTCATCTGCTCCTCATAAGCATCTTCTACGAGTACTCTATACTCATTCCTCTGTTTTTCGGCCTCAAGCCGACGTTGTCTCTCCTCGGCGACCCTTTGCTCCCTGATGTCCATTTCCCTCTGGAGCCTGAGCCTTGCCTCCTCGAGACTCTGAATTCTCCCTACCAGGCGGTCATAGGCTGGACCATTCCGCAATCTCGACCCCTGGAGAACATTTTCGCCATGATGCGTTGAACTTGCCTTGAATCCACCCCCACCGGCAAAGGCGCCCGATGGTGTAGAATAGTCATCATGGTTCCCTGATTCACTCCCTGAATAATCCTCAATATCATTCAAGCCTACCTGTGGCTCAACATGCACAGGATTACGGTGACTCACCGAAGGGTTGATAGGG